CCCTGTCTCCTTATTTCCCATCTCTTCCTTTTCCCTCCTTCCTTCTTTCTCATTCCCATCTCCTTCCTTCCTTCCTTCCTTCCTTCCTTCCTTCCTTCCTTCCTTCCTTCCTTCCTTCCTATTTTTTCCTTTTTCCTCCCTCCCTCCCTGTCTCCTTATTTCCCATCTCCTCCTTCCCCCTCCTTCCTTCTTTCTCATTCCCATCTCCTTCCTTCCTTCTTTCCTATTTTTACCTTTTTCCTTCCTTCCTATCCCCCATCTCCTTCTTTCCCATCTCCTTCCCCTCCTTCCTTCTTTCTCATTCCCCTCTCCTCCCTCCCTCCATCCCTTCCTATTTTTTCCTTTTTCCTCCCTCCCTCCTCTCCTTTATGTTTTCCAGACAGCCCCTCCTCATACAGTATCCTCTGCACCAACCACGCTCTGACCCTGACCTCCAATTTGCTCCCGAGGAGGATGCCTGGATTAAGAAGAGAGGCAGCCAACAGACAACACCTGGGAACTGGCAGTCAATGCCTTCCCTAGAAAAATAGCTTCCGTGAAGCGTCCCACCCGTCTAAATAAAAGAGAGAGGCTCTCACACCTTGCTGGCTCCAGGGAGTAAGTGCAATTTCACGTATGGATCAGCCAGTACATTATGGTCCATCGGCTTCAGGCCCTGAAGAGAAAGAGAGAAGAAATAGATTATAAAGGGGAGGAAATCCCAGCTGCTATCAATCTAAACCTCCCTCCATCTTCTTTGTTATTCAGAACCTGTGGTTTCTCCGCCTAATTTATTCCAGGCAAAGCCAATTTATCCGCTCCTGTTTACACAACGCATTCGTGTCTGTCTAATGACGATACCAGCCACTTTCCTAGAGCTGGCTGTGATCGTGCCAAGCGGGAGCCGGTTAAAGACACACAAGCCCCGGGCTTAAGAAAAAGGCTGGAACAGGGCGGGAGCACGAAGTCCCAATTTAATGCTGGAATTGGAGATGTCTAGTCTGATGAAAAGAAGGACCAGGGGTGACACGATAGCAGCGTTCCAGTACTTGAGGGGCTGCCCCAAAGAAGAGGGAGTGTCAAGCTACTCTCCAAAGCACCTGAAGGCTGGACAAGAAGCAACGGGTGGAAATTAATCCGGGAGAGAAGCGACCTAGAACTAAGGAGGCATTTCCTAACCGTGAGTGGAACACGACCAGGGTCGGCGTTCCAGAAAACTTCAACTCCAGTTAATAACTCAGAGACAGACATGTTCTCAAAGTTTCCTTTTCTTAGAGCAGTAGACCAATACTTGAATACAGCTCATCAGTCTGGAACCCGCATTATGGTATATTAATACAATTGAAAAAGTCCAGAAATATTTCACAAGAAGAGTTCTCCACTCCTCTACTCGTTGCAGAATACTTTATGTCACCAGATTTGAAATTCTAAGACCTAGAAAACCTTGAATTACGCCGTCTTCGGTCTGATCTAAGTATGGTATATAAAACCATACATTGCAATGTCCTACCTGTCAATGAATAGTTCAGCTTCAACCATTACAACACAAGAGCACACAATAGATACAAACTCAAGGTTAATCGCACCAAACTTGATTGCAGGAAATACGACTTCAGCAACAGAGTGGTCCATGTCTGGAATCCTCTACCTGACTCTGTGGTTTCTTCGCCAAACCCCCAAACCCCAAAACCTTTAACCTTAGACTGTCTACTATTGACCTCACCCAGGGGTGAGATTCTACCAGTTCGCACCAATTCGCTAAAACCGGTTGTTAACATTCTAAGCAGTTCGAAGAACTGGTTGTTAGAAGAAAATTACTGGCCTAATCCTGTAAGGAAGGAAGGAAGGAAACATTCTGGTGTTGCTTACAGAAACTGCCTCTCCGTTAACCTTTATTACATTCTTGGCAGGAGTAGACTTCCTGTCTCAAGAACTTCTCTGGAGTTTTTTTTCCCCTCCTTTGCTGGTACTTTGCTTGTGTGGAGTGACCATTCAAAGTTACAATGGCACCGAAAAAAGTGACTTATGACCGTTTCTCACACTTACGACTGTTGCAGCATCCCCATAGTCATGAGAGGCCAGGCGAGGAGATGCGTGCCTCAATGTGAGTGATGTTGAGTTGGCCACGTCCAGCCAATAACATGACCACCAAGCCACGCCCACCAACTAAGCCACGCCCACAGAACCGGTTGTTAAAAAATTTGAATCCCAACCCCTGACCTCACCTATTTCCTAAGAGGTCTGTAGGGGGCGTGCATAAACCCACCAACGTGCCTACTGTCCCTGTCCTATTGTTTCTTTTATTTTTCTTATTTGTATCCATTTCATGTATTCATAACTATGTTTATACATATACATATTATCTTATAATTGCTTGACAAACAAACAAATAAATAAATTAAGAGTAGTAAACTGGCACATTTGGGAAATCCCAAATCTGAAAATTCCAGGTTTCCCTCCAACAAGTAAAAAATTACAAATCCACCCTCTGCACCCCCAATTCCATCACTATCCGTCCCAATTTGAGATGTCCTCTCAACACCTAGAGTCCTGCATCCAGTTTTGTTCACCACATTATAAAAAAGGATGTTGAGACTCTAGAAAAAGTGCAGAGAAGAGCAACCAGGATGATTAGGGGACTGGAGACTAAGGCATATGAAGAACAGTTACAGAAACTGGGCTTGGCTGGTCTAGTGAAGAGAAGGATCAGGGGAGACAGGAGAGCCGTCTTCCAATATTTGAGGGGCTGCCACGGGGAGGAGGAGGAAGGGGTCAAGCTATTTTCTAAAGCACCCAAAGGCCAGACAAGGAATAATCGATGATAACTGAACAAGGAGAGAGATTCAGTCTAGAAATAAGGAGAAACTTTCTGACAGTGAGAACAATCAACCCATGGAACAGAAGTTGCCCTCGGAAGTTGTGGGAGCGCCATCGCTTGAGACTTTCAAGAAGAGGTTGGACTGCCATTTGTCAGAAAGGGTGTAGGGCCTCCTGCTTGGGCAGGGGGTTCGACTAGATGACCTATAAGGTCCCTTCCAACTCTGATTTTCTGTTACTTAGGTGCAGAAACAACATGACCTTGACCTAGAAGAAGAATGCTACTATGTCTAAACACATATGCTCCAAGAAATTCACCCGTCCCATTTTCCCAGGTTTATGACACACCCTGGGAGGAGGGGGAAAAACAGAGTCATAGGTGGGCAGTAAATTACATAGGGCAGAGTCGATTGCACTTTCGAAAAGTGCCGGACATGTTGCTCCTAATAAATAATTGGATTTCTTTTGAAACTTGGCTCGAGGCTCATGAATTAATTAGGGCATCCGTCGGAACCCTGACAAAGAGATTGGACAACCATTAGCCTGAAATGGTATAGGGTTTCCTGCCTAAGCAGGGGGTTGGACTAGAAGATCTCCAAGGTCCCTTCCAATTCTGTTATTCTATTCTAACAACCCAGTTCAGAGAAAGCATCCGCAATAGGTATATTATCTAACAAAATGAAATTCAGGGGAGAGAAAAGTCAGGATTTGCAGTCAGGCGAGAGAAACCAAATGTACAGGAACAGATTAAGTAAAACTTGGCTCAATAGCAGTAACTGGGAGAGGGATCTTGGAATCCTGATTTGCTTATTGTACCCTATGACTATTATTAAGTGTTGCACATTATGATTATTGACTCTTGATGAATGTATCTTTTCTTTTATGTTCACTGAGAGCATTTGCACCAAGACAAATTCCTTGTGTGTCCAATCACACTTGCCCAATAAAGAATTCTCTTCTCTTCTCTTCTCTTCTCTTCTCTTCTCTTCTCTTCTCTTCTCTTCTCTTCT